ACCAGATACAAGGCTCTGAGTTTAAACACCAGTACTACCAAAAACAAAAAAAATCCCAGCAGAAATAAATAAGCATATACCAAAATACATAAGGAAAAGCAAAGGCCTTGTATAGCCAAACAATTTGCAGGAAAAAGAACCAAGTTGTAGGGTTCATATTGCCTAATTTCAAAATTGACTTTTACACAGTTTGGACAATAATCAAAGACTGTGGTACTGGTATAAAGATAGACATATAGATGATGAGACAGACGATTGAGTTGAAGAAAAGGCCCTTTCACATATAGTCAATTAGTTTATGGCAAAAGTACCAAGGTAATTTAATCCAAAAAGTACAGTCTTTGCAACAAATGGCACTGCAACATTTAGATGTCCATATGTAAAGATAATATAATCCCCCATCCTTACCTCACTACATATAAAGTTAATTAAAAACTAATCATAGACTTAAACACAAGAGCTAAAATTATAAAACATCTAGAAAATTTCCAAAATACTTGGAAGTATTTTGGGTTAAGCAAACATTTCTCAGGATAAAAACTTTAGCACCTGGAAAAGGAAACATGAATTATTTGATTCCACCAAAATTGCACTCTTTCTTAAAAAGAAAGTGAAATGAAAATCCATCTGCTGAGAGCCAATAGTGACACTGGCAGAACACATCTAATAAATGACTTGTATCAAAAACACATGAGGGCTCTTACAACTCAAAAGAAGATGACCCCACGGAAAGTGGGCAAAAGACTTAAATGGATTTTGTTAATATCTTTAAGGAAACAAATTAAAACTACTGCAGAACATAAGAGTGGCTACAATTAAAGAGATTGACAACATGACGACATGCTGCCGAGAAGGCAGAAAAACTCACATGCTGTTGGCAGGAATACAAAACGATGCCACCATTTTGGAAAATAATTCGACTAAGTGTCTTATAAAGCTAAGCATGCATTTACCACGTGATCCAGCAATCTCACTTCTAGTATTTACCCATGAAAACGTATGCCCACACAAAGATGTGTATGTGACTATTCATACAGCAGCTTCACTGACGATTACCAAAAATTGGGAATAACCTGAAAATCCATCACCTAGTGAATGTGTGGTGTTTTTACACAATGGAAACTGCTCAGCAGTAAAAATAAACCACTGATACAACAATACAGATGAACTCAAAGTGATTATGCTATGTGATCAAAGACACAAGAAGCTACAAACTGATTCCATTCTGGAAAAGGCAAAACTATAGGGACTATAGCTGACAGGACTGACCTCAGGAGGGAGAGAGGGTATTGACTGCAAAGAGGAGGGAGGAACTTTGTGACTAATAAAAATGTATTTTTAATCATGGTAGGGTGCACTTTCAACTATGTATAGTTCAACTGTATGCTGTGCTGGTATGAATTTACATCATACCCAAAGTCATACTGTATAAGAATCAGTATACAAATGTGTAATTATACATTTGTCAAAACATCAAATTGCACAAGAAGGGTGAGTTTGTATGTATATTGTGATCAATAAACCTAATTTTTAAAAGAATCTAAATGAAGATTTAAAAAAATCTTTTAAGAGATTTAAAGAAAGATGTTTTTAAGTATGTTATTCAATATCACTAATAACGTAATTTATTACATGTCTCCTATTGCATTGGTCCTTTTCCCTTATTGGGTCATTTTTAGTCTTCATGATTAAATTAAATTGCCTTTTTTTACAGATGACAAAACTAACTCAGAAAAGCTCATTGTCTGTTGCCCTGATATGAGAAACAGGGACCTTCCACATCTAAGCCCTTTTCTTTTTCTACTATGTAAAAGACACCTATTCAAATATTACCTGTTTACATGTGTGTGTGTGTGCGCGCGCGTGTGTGTGTAGTTGTATGCAATTTCAGCACCTTTGTGTAGCTTTGGTAACCACCAGCACATTCAAGACACCAAATGGTTTCCTCATGCTACTCCTCTACCCTAATACCTCATCAGCATTAATCTTTTCTTTCTCTATAATTTTGTTAATCTAAGAATATTCCATGATCACACAGTATGTAATCATTTGAGAGTTTTTTCACTCAGCATCATTCCATGAATAACCTTCCAAGTTATTGCACATATCAGTAGTTCTTTTCTTTCCCTTTCTATTGTTTAGTGGTAGGTCATGGCACAGAGGTACCATGTTTTTTTCTACCATTTATCCATTGAAGGATATTTGAGTTGTTTCTGTTTTGAACTACTAGTAATATAGCTGCTATAAACATTAGTGTGCATGTTGTTGCATGGAAGTAAGTTTTCATTTATCTGGATAAATGCCTAAGTGTAATTTAATGCTCAGTCATACAACAAGGACACATTTAGTTTTTTAAATGCAGTTAACCATTTTACATTCACACCAGCAATGTGGGTGATCAGTTTCTCCATATTCTTGTCATTGTTGGTGTTACCACTGTTTTTCGTTTAGTCGGGAGCATTGGTAATATGTTAGCCATTATCGTTGGTAGTGACATATCATCATGGTTTTGTTTTTCCCTAATGGGCAATTGTGGTGATAACCTTCTCATGTTCTTCTTTGCCATTTTGTATATCTTCTTTAGTGAAATACATTTTGCCCATTTTCACCATGGTCTTTTTTACTGTTGAGTTTTGAAAGTTCTTTGTATATTTTGTAGATATGAATCCTAGGTCAACATAAAGTTTTCACATATTTTTCCCTATCCTGTAGCTTGTACTTTTCATTCTCAAAATGGTATTTCTTACTTGAATTATTTTTAAAATATTTATCAAGCAGTAATTTCCTAAGCATTACAACCATGGCTTAATGGTAGTGTAGAAACTGGATTCTACAGTCTACTGTGTTTTTGTTAGTGTTCTCTATACAGAGAGGTCTAAGATAGCATGGAAAAATATGATTTCTCTCTGTTGGTCAACTTCCTTTCATCCTTTTCTCATAAATACTAACTCAGGAAAAAGTAAAGCTGCCAACTCCAGATACAGAAAAGGTGGGACACTGGAAATGCCAGGGGGAGGGAGAAGTGAGGGCTCTGATTAGCCTGTGATGGCCACATGACACACCCTGACATCTTTAGGATTGAGGCCCTTCGAAGGAGGTTGGAGGGCAAGTTAAATCAAAAGGAAAAGGGCTGAGGATTTAACTCGTTAGTAGAGCACTTTATGCAAGGTCCCAGAAAAACATGAAAGTCCCTTGCAGTATCTACAACCCTATAGTCTGTAAGAGTTTGATTAGACTGCTTGTACCTGAAATATCGAAATCTCCATTTGTCCATGTGATGATAAAACAATTTCATGTGGCAGTGAGACCATTTTATAATGAACTCCCTACTTCCACTACAAAATGTATGGTGCTAGCTTACTCTTTTCTTAAACACTTATTGGGTGTACTGTAGTAGGTACCGAAAATACAAAATAAATGAAAAGTGTGAGCATTCCAAGACGCTCATACATCTCACAGAATGAAGAAATCGCAATCGCAAAATACAGTAGATAATGTAGCACTACATAAAAGGGGGAATCAGCTCTGCCTGAGTGAATGGCAGGGTCAGCAGGGAGAGAGATTTGGAGTTAGGTTTTGCTAGATATGTTTAAATGTTTGCTTTCGCTCCATAATGACTGTGAAAGGGACAATTTAGAAAACAGAATTGCATTTTCAAGGATGAGTTCGTCATGGAAAACTCGAGGCTTTTAGAGAGGTCAAATCCATTTATTCGTTAGCAAATATGTATTGCTTCCACTCCATGCTAGGTTCCAGTAATCCAGCAAATGGTCCTTGCCAAAAGGGGCCTGTGGGCTGATGGAAAGACAGAGTGATAAATTGCAGCATAATGTGACAAGTGCCATGAAAAAGCAGTAGCAGAGGGTGATCTGGAAGCATTTGCTACTCTCTGGACAGGTTGAAGGAGATTTAATTATGGTGTTTGCATTCAATGATTTCAAAACGACTGAAATGAAAAGTACAGGGAAACTACGAGACGCTCCCAGAGATGTGTCTAGCTTTGCAAATGTCCAAAAATCTAATGTAGACGTATCCTGGGAGCGTCTCGTAGTTTGTCATGCCTCCCTCTGGTAAGACGGGGGACGAGGGGAAACAAATAATCTGCTATGACACAGCTAGAGTTTGAAGTAACACTTCAGTCCTCTTGACCTTCTTTTCGGAGTCCAGTTCTGTGCTCGCTCTGAACACTTAATGACTTCGAAGTTGGATGCCAGCTGAAGACGACAAAGCAGCAAAGGAAGCCACAGCAGCGAAGTGTGAGGAAGGAAACTCTGGCCGGCATCTCATACTTTAAGCTCCCGACAACTCTGATCAATTCAGATGACGAAAAGGTTCACAGACCGGAGGATAAGCGACCGGCTCGACGTCACCTGGACTCCGAGCCCGCAAAAGCGCGCAGGTGCCCCGCGGGCGCAGGCGCACTGCCCTCCCTCGGCAGGCAGCGTGGGGCGGCCGGGGAGCTCCCGGCTCAACGCCTGGGAACGTGCCGTTGGCGCCTCCATTTCTCGTTCCCGTCACTCGTCGCGAACGCCAATGGCTAGCACTGTGCTTGGCACGCAGCGCTCCATCAGTAGTTGTTGGGGGAGCCAAAGTGGATTCTGGTCCGGACTTTTGCCAGGCCTTCCCACCGCGTCCTGCAGGGTTGAAGGCACACGGGGGAGCAGCAGGTCGTGTCCCGATCCTCCCGCCTCTTGGCTTCCTGAACGGCCCTGGAAGCGCCTTCTGCCCTTTCGCCCACCCCCAGGCGGGGTGTCCGCCGAGACCACTCCCCGCGGCCGGAAGCCAGGCGGCCGCGCGCTGCAAAAGCCTGCGTGGCCCGGTGGGCGGTTGGTCGGACGGCCGGGTCTTACCAGTCGGCGCGAGTGCCAGCGGCGGTGCATGCCGCACGTCGCCGAGGGGGCGCCTGGCCGGGCGTCCTCGTCCTTCCCACGGCCCTCGGTCCTTTCTGAGCCTGCTGTGGTGGGACTGCCCTCGCAGCGGCGCAGAGGAGCGCTCGGCGCGCCTCGGAGATGAGCTCGGCGCCGGGGCTGCCGACACCGGGGACCTCGCTGTCCCTACGAGTATCCTTCGTGGACGTGCATCCCGAGGTGATCCTTGTGCAGCTATGGGGACTGGTGGGCCAGCGGCGGGAGGAGTACGTGCGTCTGAGCCGGGAGATCCAGGAAGCGGCGGCCACGCGCGGCCCGTGGGCGCTGGGCGGCGCGTCGGCCTCGCCGGGCGAGCTGTGCCTGGTGCAGGTGGGGCTCATGTGGCACCGCTGCCGCGTGGTCAGCCGGCAGGCGCAGGAGAGCCGCGTCTTCCTGCTGGACGAGGGCCGCACCATCACGGCCGGCGCGGGGTCTCTGGCGCCCGGGCGCAGCGAGTTCTTCCACCTGCCCTCCGAGGTGCTGGGCTGCGTGCTGGCCGGCCTAGTGCCGGCGGGCGGCGGCGGCGCGGGCGGGGGTGAGCCGCAGCACTGGCCGCCCAGCGCCGTGGACTTCCTCAGCAACCTGCAGGGCCAGGAGGTGCACGGCCGGGTCCTGGAGGTCCTGCTCCCCCAACGCCTGGTCCTGCTGGAGGTGCCGGCCGTGTTCCAGCAGATGCAGGAGCTCGGCCTGGCCCGGCAGGTGCCGGATGGGCTCTTCCGCTCCCTACTCAAGCGCTACCTCATGTCTGCTGGCAGGAGCCCTGGCACCCCGGTTTTCCCGCGAGTCCCGCCCAAGCAAGAGCAGCCTGGCCTGGATTACTTCTATCCTCAGCTGCAGTTGGGCGTGACGGAGCCCGTAGTGGTAACCCAAGTGTGCCATCCCCACCGTATTCACTGCCAACTCCGGAGCCTCTCGCAGGAGATCCACCGCCTCTCTGAGAGCATGGCCCAGGTATACCGGGTTTTCACGGGGACAGGGGATGAGAACTCTACCGGTACCACGTGCGAGGAGAGGGAGGAGAGCCCGGACAAGCCAGGCTCTCCGTGTGCCTCCTATGGATTGGATGGACTTTGGTACAGGGCTCTTTTGCTTGAGACTTTTCGGCCCCAGCGCTGTGGCCAGGTGCTTCACGTCGACTATGGAAGGAAGGAGTTAGTGAGTTGTAGTAGCCTTCGGTACCTGCTGCCTGAATATTTCCGGATGCCTGTGGTGACCTACCCTTGTGCTTTGTATGGACTCTGGGACTGTGGGAGAGGCTGGTCTCGGTCGCAGGTTGGTGACCTAAAGGCACTGATTCTAGGCCAGGCAGTAAATGCCAAGATTGAATTTTACTGTTCTTTTGAACATGTGTATTATGTCACCCTGTATGGAGAAGACGGAATTAATCTTAACAGTGCCTTTGGAGTACAGTCATGTTGCTTGGCTGACCGATTCCTTCAGAGCCAAGGAATAGAGGAGGAAGAAGAAGCAGAAACAGCATTTCAGTTTCAGTACCCTGCTGAAGAAGTGGATGAAGAGGTTTTCCTCCCAGCTTTAAGATCGATCAGGTTAAAGATGAATGCCTTTTATGATGCCCAGGTAGAGTTTGTTAAAAGCCCTTCTGAGTTTTGGATTAGGTTGAAGAAACACAATGGCACCTTCAGCAAGCTTATGAGGCGAATGTGCAGTTTTTATTCTTCAGCCAGTAAGTTGGATGGTGTGGTTTTGAAACCTGAGCCTGATGACCTCTGCTGTGTCAAATGGAAAGAAAACGGCTATTACCGGGCCATCGTCACCAGATTAGACAGCAGGAGTGTGGATGTGTTCCTAGTTGACAGGGGCAGTTCAGAACGCGTGGACTGGCACGATGTAAGGGTGTTACTGCCTCAGTTTAGGCAGCTGCCGACATTGGCTTTGACCTGCACCCTGGCTGATATTTGGCCTTTGGGGAAAACTTGGAGCCAGGAGGCAATTTCCTTTTTTAAGAAGACCGTACTCCACAAAGAACTAGTCATCCACGTCCTCGATAAGCAGGATCATCAGTATGTTATAGAGATTCTTGATGAATCAAGAGCAGGGGAAGAAAATATTAGTAAGGTCATTGCTCAAGCTGGCTATGCCAACTATCAGGAATTTGAAACCAAAGAAAATGTCCCAGTGAATGCCTGCTCCCCAGGGCATGTGCCAAGCCATTTCATTGCTGAGAATAACAAAATACCTTCCGCTAAGAAGGTAGAAGGGGAACAGAGAGCTCTGAGAGATAGTAAAACCACATCTGTTTCAGAAGCGTTGACTGCCGCGACAGTTGTTAAAAATGTTTCCGCTGGACAAGTTATGCAGGAAAAAGAGAAAATTTCATCTGTGTATTCTCCTGGTACACAGAATTTCTCAAAAGTTGACCCAGACTCTTCTTGTAAAGGAGAGCTAAAAGTTGGAAGTACAGTAGAAGTCAAAGTGTCTTATGTTGAAAACCCCGGCTATTTCTGGTGTCAGTTAACCAGAAACACACAAGCACTTAGAACACTAATGTGTGATATTGAGGAGTACTGCAAAAATATACCAGCTCCTTTCCAGGGGAACACTCCTGCTTGTTTGGCAAAGCGAAAAGCAAATGGAAAATGGTCCAGAGCTCTGATTAGTGGTGCACAATCTTCAGAGCACGTCACAGTAATGTTTGTAGACTACGGAGACAAAGACATGGTGTCCGTGAAGAATATATATTCAATTAGTGATGAGTTTCTCAAGGTTAGGGCTCAGGCTTTTAGGTGCAGTCTTTATAATTTAATTCAACCAACTGGTGATAATCCCTTTGTTTGGGATGAAAAGGCAATACAAGCTTTTAGCGGATTTGTAGATAACGCATGGCAAAACAATCTAGAATTAAAATGCACAATATTTGCTCTGGCATCTGCACGTGATGAAGAACTATTCAATGTTGTAGATTTGCTGACACCCTTTCAGAGCGCATGCCATTTCTTGGTAGAAAGGAGACTTGCAAGACCCGTGAAACTTCAGAAGCCTCTGGAGTCTTCTGTCCAGCTGCATTCCTACTACTATTCTACACATGACATGAAAATTGGAAGTGAAGAATCGGTGTACGTAACACACGTTGAGGACCCTTGGACATTTTACTGCCAGCTGGCAAGAAATGCAAATATTTTAGAACAGCTATCAGGTAGCATTACACAATTAAGTCAAGTTTTGCTGAATTTACAAACATCTCCCTTGATCCCTAGCACCTTGTGCCTTGCCAGGTATACCGATGGAAACTGGTACAGGGGGATAATAATTGAAAAAGAGCCTAACAAAGTCTTCTTTGTTGATTTTGGGAACATTTATGTAACAAGTGACAATCTCCTTTCAATACCTCGGGATGCATATGATGTTTTACTTTTGCCCATGCAAGCCATAAAATGCTCACTCTCTGATATTCCTAATCATATTCCAGAAGAAGTCACAACATGGTTTCAGGAGACTATTTTAGATAAGTCATTGAGAGCCTTGGTTGTAGCAAAAGATCCAGATGGAAGACTGATTATAGAACTGTATGATGACAGTATTCAAATTAATGCTAGTATTAATGAGAAGTTAGGGCTGCTTGGTTACAAAAGCAGAATAAGGAAAAAAAAGAAAGAAAATGAAGCACACCTGCCTACCACTGAAACTCTTGAAGAAAAAAAGGAAAATGTGAAGTTGTCACCTACAAAGTATTTAAGTAAATCAGGAGAGAACCAATTGCCCAGTGTAGAGATTTTGGGAGACCCTAAGGTCAGCTCAGCATGTAAGGAGCTCAAATATTTACAAAGCTCAACAAAGACAAACTTGTTCCCTCAATACCAAAATTCTCTGGGAAACAAAAATGACCAAGTGTTTCCATTGATAAGTGAAAAGAAAGATATATTTGCTGAGCCACCACTGAAAGCCACAAAACTGGAAGCCAGTCTTCCCGAGAGAAGAATAGGGGATTCGTGTAAAGAAGATTTGCCTCTAAAATTTTGTGAGTTCCCACAGAAGACAATACTGCCCGGGTTTAAAACAACTGTCTATGTTTCACATATTAATGATCTTTCAGACTTTTACATTCAGTTAACAGAAGATGAGGCTCAAATTAACCGTCTTTCAGAGAGATTAAATGATGTTAAAACAAAGCCCAAATACTATACAGGTCCACCTTTGCAAAGTGGAAATGTGATATGTGCCATTTTCCCAGAAGACAATTTGTGGTACCGTGCAGTGGTCAAGGAACGACAATCCAATGACCTTCTCTCTGTACAGTTTATAGATTATGGCAACGTATCTGTGGTTCACGCTAACAAAACAGGCAAGCTCGACCTAGTTAATGCACTGTTACCAGGACTGTGCATTCATTGCTCCTTAAGGGGGCTTTGGGTCCCTGACATTATACACTGTAAGCAAATGATGCGTTACTTCTCTCAAAGGACCGATGAGGCTCAAGTAAGGTGTGAATTTGTTAAATTTCAAGACAGATGGGAAGTCATTCTTGCGGATGAACACGGCATCATAGCAGAAGATATAATTAGTAGATATGCTGTCAGTGAAAAATCTCAAATAGGACTTCCTCCCCAAATAATTAAAGGGGATTGCTCAAAGTCTGTGGACAAACTGGACATTGACACTTCAGTATTTCTTAACTGGTACAGTCCAAAAATGAAGATAGTAAGAGCTTATGCCACTGTGATAGATGGACCTGAGTATTTTTGGTGCCAGTTCGCAAATACTGAGAAACTCCAGTATTTAGAAATAGAAGTTCAAATGGCTGGAAAGCACGTAACAGATTGGAGAAAATATATCCCATGTCCTCACATTGGAGATCCTTGTATAGTGAAATACAGAGAAGATGGGCATTATTATAGAGCTCTTATCACGAATGTTTGTGAAGACGATCTTATATCTGTCAGGCTTGTGGACTTTGGAAATGTTGAAGACTGTGTGGACCCAAAAGCACTCTGGATTATTCCTTCTGAACTTCTGTCCATTCCCATGCAAGCCTTTCCTTGTTGCCTTTCAGGATTTAACGTTTCAGAAGGTATATGCCCTCAAGAGGGAAATGATTATTTTTATGAAATAGCAACAGAAGATGTGTTAGAAATAACAATATTAGAAATCAAAAGGGATGTTTGTGACATCCCTTTAGCAATTGTTGACTTGAAAAGCAAAGGTGAAAGTATTAATGAGAAAATGAAGAAATATTCTAAGATTGGCATCGCTAAGAGTGACCTGTCCTATGAAAAAAATGGCCCAGAGATAAAGGGAGCCCTTCTGACCCTCAGCCCTGATGTTGGACTTAAGAAATCAAGTAATAAAGCTGTTCAAGAGAAGACTTTATATGTGGAACCACAGACAGATGAGCTCTCTGAAAGAATTGAAAAAGATTTAAACATTATGGAAACCAAACCAAGTAAATTCTATGACCTTGGAACTGATAACATTTTTGAAGCTTTTGAAAACTTGTGCAAAGATAAAATGGGTTTTGAGATGCTAGAAGATAACATAGAGTGCCATTTGGTTGATCCAGGAAAGTTTGATGATAAATTCCTTATTACAGAATTTAACACATTGCCACATGTTAGTGAAACAAAGGAGATATTAGAGCTGAATTCACTTGAGGTTCCACTGTCCCCTGATGATGAATCCAAAGAATTCTTAGAACTAGAATCCATCGAGTTACAGCATTCTCTAGTTGGGGATGAAGAAAAAGAGGAGCTAGGCTTGGGGCCACCAATTGTGCCCCTGTCCCAAGACTGTGACACAGAAGCCACCCTGGAACCATTTCCAGTGCATCTTTCCCTCAGCTGTGAAGCTGAGAACCAACCAGAACTAGAACTACCCATAGCTCAGTTGCCTCTAGATGATGCTATAAACCCTCTACCCATTAGAGTTGGTCAGAAAACCCAAGAATCCCAGTGTGTTGAAGACGTGACAGAGTCAAGCTGTGTAGGGTCTTTTGATGAGCAGCACACCATGTCACTGCACCTACATGGGAAGAGCTGTGAGCCCCAAATGCACTTGGAAATGAATATATTTGAAGAAGAATTTCCAGAATATAAAAACATGGATGCCCTTGCTTCATTGACATCTTTGTTCTCGGAAGAAGAATCCAGAGATGAAAAGAAACACACTCGTGCCTTGCCAGATCATGTCTCAGGTATGTGAATTTGTTTCCTTTCACTTTTAAGTTTCATTTGGTCTCTTTTTATTTTTATTTTTATTTTATTTTCTGGTGATACTGGGGTTTGAATTTAGGCTTTGCACTTGCAAAGCAGGCACTCTACCACTTGAGCCATGCCTCCAGTCCGTTTTGCTCTGGTTGTTTTGGAGATGGTGGTCGCACAAACCATTTGCTCTGTCAGGCCTTGAACCACTATCCTCCATATCTCAGCTTCTCGAGTAGCTAGTATTACAGGTGTGAGCCGCAGGCACCCAGCTCACTTGATGTCTTACAAAAGCTCTTACGTGTTTTAAAGAGAAAGGGGTGATTATTACATGAGTTGCTTGTGGTAACTTTTTTGGAAAGAAGATTAAATGCAGAGACATGAATCAGATTTGGACTTTATGAAGGTCCCTAGAAACACAGGAAGCATTAGTTGTGAAATCAGCATAAAATAATGTATGCTGGATGAAATGCTGAAATTAACTTCGTGTTTAAAAATAAAATATTTGTAATCTATGTCACCAAAAGGTAATCTCATTTAAAATCATCTTTGAAATCAAGACAGTAAACATGTTGGTAAATTAAAAAAAATAATATGGCAATCATAATTAAGTATAATTTAAGCATGAATTTACAGTAGGAATCATTTTAGCTGGGTTTTTCAGACTTAACCGCATCATGCATTGATTTTGCAATTCATTTAGAAACTCTTAGACCAAAAAAGTAGAGCCTATGTGAATCAAAAAAGCTAACAGTCACGAAGAAAGCTTAGAGAACATTTATCAACTTTCAATATTGTTTGCTATTTCCTTTGCCATATAAAGAGATTTAAAGGTTACGTTAGATGGCTGATGTTTAGCTTTTTATGGTCAGTATTATACTTTTTAAATGTCAATTTTTATATTAAATTTGAGCCATTGTGCAAAATAGAGAAGGCAATAGAATAATGAGAGTGAAAGTCATCATACTCTCATCACCAAGAAGTGACCACTGCTAGTATACTTTCTTCCTGGTGTCCTTTACCCACTTAGTGTCTGTCTGTCTGTCTGCACACAGTTTTAAAAACGAAATGCAGATCATTCTGTCATGCAGAACTGAATCCCATATTTTGAACCTTTAAAATGTTTTCAGAGTGTTTAACTGCATAGCCTGCCATCCTAGGGCACATGCTAATTAATGTAATACTACTCTTGTTTAGCTATTTATTCTCCATTGTAAAAATAACAAGCACTAACTTTGATACGAAGTCTGCTTCATTGCAGCATGCTGCTTTGTTGTAGGAGTGGCTGTTGTAACCATAGGTGATACACTGGTAGTAAAAGGACCAGCTTTAATTAGTAATTTTCTTTCTTTTTTTTTTTTGTGGTATTGTGGTTTAAACTTGGGGCCTTGCACTGGCTAGGCAGAAACTGTACCACTTGAACCCTTATTTTGCTTTAGTTACTTCTTGGGTGGAGTCCCTAGGTTTTGCCTGGGCTGGCCTGGGACCGAGATCTTCCTACCTACACCCCTCAATAGCTGGAATTTCAGGTGTACACCACAACCTTGTCCAGCTTGTTTTGTTGACATGGCGTTTTGTGAACTTTTTGCCTAGTCTGACCTCCAACTGTGACTCTGTGACTCTTCTGACCTCTGCCTCCTGAGTTGTTGGAAGTGTAGGTGTGTGCCTTTTTTTTTTTTTTTTTCCTGGAGAGTGGTAGGGATTATATGTGGATAGGGCACTGGAAGTATTTAAAATAAAATTAAGAAGAATAGATACAAAGAACATATTATATCAATGTATTAATTACATAATGTTGGTTATATAGGAATAATAAATATGTAGGAAAATGCTTGTATATCTAACATTACAAAATTAAGAGTTATGCATTGAGTCTTTCTCTATTCAATTTGGCAGTTCAGCCACAAAACACCTATACTCTGGAAGGGTTTACAGTTGGATCCAAATGTGTTGTATGGTCAAGTCTAAGAAACACATGGTCTAAATGTGAGATTTTGGAAATAGCTGAAGAAGGAACAAGGGTAAGGGAAACTTAACAGACTTTTCTCAATGTATACTTGCAGATTATTAAGGAATTTTACTAAACTTTATCATACTAGAGAATACAACTGACTGCTGTGTGTCTGCTTATCTCCCTGGTAATTTGATGAGTCCCTCATTTCATGGGCACATTATTTCAATAACCTTTTATTATTTCCTACTTCTAATCTTCCTTCAACTGATCGCCCACACTGCTAATATGAAGTTTAAGAAATACAAATCTACATCATTTTTGTGTAAAATTTTGTAGGGACTCCCACTTAATTGTGTAATCTGAAAACCACCTCTACCAGAATCACGTGGCCTTTTTTTTTTTAATTGTACGTTCCTTGGTCTTGGCCTGGCCTGCCATTCAGAATTTCTGAAGGCAGAATTTCACACTAATGCATTCTTTACTTGCAGTGTTGGGGATAAAACCCAGGGTCTTATACATGCTAGGCAAGCGCTCTACCACTGAGCTATCTCCCCAGCCCTCAAAATGCACACTCTTAATATCATTAAAATTAGAGAACCACTGATCTAAAATGTAAAACACAGGGTCATTAACATGACACAGGAGATCATCTAGGTCTGAGTGTCCATCCACCTCTCCAGCCATAGGCCTTACTTTTTTGTATTTTGTGTAGTGTATTAGGTGGACATTAAACTACTTGACTTCTCATATAAATGTGTGCTTGCCTCTTTGATGTATTTAATAGTGCAGTTGCATTTTTGCCTGTTTTTCATCCCAGTCACCAAATGGTTAATTCCCACCTATCTTTAAAGATTTTCTTTAGTCATTGCCTGTTTACTTTCTAAATTTCCCCATGTTTTCACATACCTCACCTCAAAAAAAAAAAAAGCTTTATACTTGTATCATGTTCCTGTATTTAAGCATATAGAAACAGACTTCCTACTACAGAAGTTTGTCTGTCCTACATTATATTGTACTTGTGTGCTTGAAGGTAGGTGTTCTAGATTCTGAACACCTGAGGTCTAAATTTTACTTGTTATTGATCTCCAGGCATACATACTCAACATGTGTTTTTTGAACTGAAGTTTGAAACATAAGACTGAAAGTATAATACAGTCATTTTCATTATCTGATAAGGTGTTTTATTTTAAGGATTGGTATGGAATATAAATCAGTTAAAGATTTGGGAACCTACCAAGTTTTACTAAATTTTTTGTTTTCTCTTGTAGGTTTTTAACCTTTCAAGTGGTATGGAAGAGATAGTGAGCCCTGAGAATGTCTGGAATGGCATTCCCAAATTGGATAAAAGTCCATCTGAGGTATGGAATGGTGAAACTTTAATTAATAAGGGCAATGTTCTTTGTTTTGAAAGGTGTTGGAACAGACTTTCCAAAGCCCTTGTGCAGTTAAAAACACTAACAATGAGGCCAAGAATGTAATCCCAGGTACTAGGGAGGCAGAGATCAGAAATATTTTGGTTTTAGGCCAGCTAGGGCAAGAAGAACCCATCTCAATCAACAAGCCAGGAAGTGGTGGCACAGGTCTGTGATCCCAGCTATGCAGTACGCCATAGGTAGGAGGATTACAGTCTGTGCTTTTCACCCTGGACAAAAACACAAGGCCTTACCTGAAAAATAGCTTAAGCAAAAAAGAACCAGGGATGTGTCTCAGGTGGTAGAGTACCGCCTAGCCAGCGCCAGGCCCCGAGGGGGTGGGGGGAAGATAAACAACACAAATAAACAACAGCAAAAACAGAAACAAGCTCACTGTTTCTGGACTTCACGCTGTGTATCACTTTGGATAGATCCATCCAAAGACAGAGCAGGTTAATCAGTTCAGTTTCCTTTCATAATTTCTTCTGCTCCTGTTGGGTTTCATCTCCATATTTTAAACACAATTGATTACACGTGGTTTTATGTTCTACAAAGAGTATAGACTGTATAGTGTGAGTGTTTTCTCTTGCCACGTTGATGTGTCTGGCATGTTTTTTTAGGCTGTTTGAGATTCACTGAACTTTAACTTCTTGCTTCGCAGTGGTTGTAGGATAGTTCAGTCATCTGAGGATTTACATCTGTTAGTTGCCTTTTCCCAAGAGATATGGTCTTCTTTCCCTAGTTGTTTGTATGTTGAGTAATTTTGGAGTATATCCTGACCATTTTGAATATTGTGTTGTAAGACTTGGTTCCTGTTACAGTCTAGAGAATGTTGAGGTTTGTGGCTTAGCAGGTGATTAGCCCCGTTTGGTTCCTGTCACCAGCTCAGTCCATCTATCTAGTTGATGGTTCCCATGTCAGATTGGTTTCCAAAGCCTCTGCCTTGATGCTTAAGTCTGCCCAGTACATAGGCCAGCCAGGGGTTAGTCGGGGCTTCTTGTAGTCATCAGGTATCAAAGATGTTGCTGGGCTTAGCTGGTTCTCTTCTGTTGACATAGCTCGGGGATTTGTATTAGTTGATACACAGTTTTAGGGGTTAAACTTTTCTAACTGCTTTCCTTTCCGAGATTCTGCCACAATTTCTGGCTCCACGGGTTCTTTTTTATCAAGACCCTCCTCTTCCCTCCATTCTTTTTCTGGTTTCTTGAGAAAGTACATGTTTCTCTCAAGGTTTCTCTCTGGGTATCTGTGTGGTTCCGTTTGAGCCTTTTGAGTAAAGCAGGCAAAAGAAGAGAGAAAATAATTCCCTCTTCCTCCTCTTCAGATAACGAAGGCCCTCCTCTTAGTGTCACTGACCAGAGAGACAGATCTCTCATGTTGTAGGGCCCTGCATGGCTGTTGTCACCAGGGAGTACTTAAGGTACCCTCAGGGAAGGGCCAGGAGAAAATTGAGAAGAAACAGAATGAAACAGTAATGAGATTTCGTACCCAATCCCTATTGTAATTTCTTTTTTTTTTTTTTTTTTATTTTTAGCACTCAGGATGCCTTTTTTCTTAATCTCTGGCTAGAAATGGGGGCTTCCACTCAGAGTTTTGCTGTTCACTCCAGCTGGAAAGTTTTGATTTGGCTCATCAAAACCAGCAAATGAAAAAGTTGAAAAAAAGAAAGGAAGAAAAGAAAAAGTTTAATAGTCAAACTTAATATAAAACTTTCAGGCTTAGCTGTTAATCTTCCTGTTCCTATTTACTTTTGAGAGTTTTTAAGCAGTTGCTTTTCATATTCTATCCAGAGCTTTTACTTGTTTGCAGTGGAAGACACACGCTATAGTAAGCTTACTCATCCTGGCTGCAGCCAAAAGGCCATAAACAGTATTTGATGACTGCACACTACTTCTCACATGACCTTAATGAGCCATGTGTTATTTATTTATTTATTTAAATTTTATTTTATTCATATGTGCATACAATGTTTGGCTCATTTCTCCCCTCCTCTCCCCCACCTACCCCTCACTACCCGGCAGAGCCATGATGTTTTAAACTCTTTCTCTTATTGTTGAATACTTAGATCACTTGACAGTTTTCACTATTAAAAAATCATTATGGTCTGGGGTATATATCTGATTTTGCATGTAGAGTTTTTTTATCTGAACTATTTCATTTTATCATAAGAAAGTGTCATGTTAGTTTCTGTATCACACAAAGCATGATGCTTAGTTATTCAAAGGAGTACAGAATATGTACATTCTTCCTCATTACACCTTTAATAAGTCATCTGTGGCCCACCATGGACCGTGTTTGAGTAGGACCTCCTTGGACAATGGTGTCCTTATTTCCTTCACCTTATACCTAAGTTGTCTGGGATTTAGAGCTAAAAATTGCAAAAAAAGATCCTTTACTCCCCGTGTGGAATGCTCCAGTGGAGCTGTTCCAGAGGAAGAAGCATTTGAAGGATAGAAAATACACTTGGGGTGAGTCTCCACTGTAAACCGGATTGTCCTAATTTTGATAGGAATCCTTTCTGCTGTTTACCTTTTCCCTGCCTTACCTATGGACCTGTTTCTGACTTAAAGTACTATTTATAGTTTTTTTAAAAAAATTGGTTGTAATTGAAAGATTCCTTTTGTTAGGCTGTGTTCCAAACAATGGAAAAAGATCTTTCCTTCATGCTACCAGATGATACTGCAATTAAAGGTAAGCTGTGCTTTGAAAACAAAAATACTTCTATCATCCAGAACTGCTAAGCCATAAAGATACCATTATCCTGAATCTCAAAAACAAAATGGTTTATTAATTTCCTTGGGCATCAGTGCTACAAAAACACGTTTGAACATGTTTATGGAGATAAATAACCCAGAGGAAGATTACCTGAAGTGTCACAGGAAATTTGTTGATTGAGTGACTCTCGAAAGCTAAATGATGAATCTGCTGAAGTTCATATTTTAAGGACCTTTAAAGGATATTCTCAGTACTAATTAGCTTATGTTTGCATATGATCTCTGTATGTTAATATTTTGGAGTTTCCAGTTTTTAGTTTATCTGCCTGATAAAATTCCATTTGTTGGGTATTCTCAGTCATTGCATGTTACCGTTCATAAATAACACATTTAGAATGGTAGCTTTAGTAGTATATAGAAAAGTACACACTAAAACAACAACTGTCAGTTGTCAGGCCTATCAAAATAGAAAATAGGGCAATTTCATAAGCTTTTAAAGAAACTTTATTTGATAATAGGCACAGTATGCAACCCAAAGTGGTAAAAAAAAAAGAAAATGTATACCTATAGGAGTAGTTCTCTGCAGTAATAAAATTGTCATCTGCCCCTCTCCCCTGTTTTAGAGGATGTTAGCTTTGTCATGATAGAACCCAGGTAAATAATTTTCTTCTTTTCATGTTTCTTTCTCAGCTTAAGGTTTTTCTCTTCTTGTTTCAGAAAAGGGGTCTGGAGGTGATACAGATTTAACTGTGGACCCGTAGATGTTGCAATTACTCAGAAGCCATTCTTAAACAAGTGGCATCTTACCCAGACTAAGTATTTGAGGAAAATTGAAAGCACGTAACCACTGGATGTTGTCATTTTTTAAAACGGACACATGTTGAAAACAAAATAGGTCTCAGGTTAGCCGTGTAGGGTTGCTGTGTATATGGATCTGAGATCTTCCTTTGCTATTAGAGCCTTATGCTTCCAATCACCTGGAAGGACTTATTTTGCTAAACAGTTTTCTAGCACCTATTGGTATCTTTTCAATATATTGTTTACATTTAAATAGAAAAAGTACAAGTTTATAACAAGTACGTTATATGATGCTACTTTGGAGGATGGCTTTGTTAGCAGTTTTCATTTTGAAGTTTTACCTTTTCTGTCGAGTTAAACACTTAACTGTTACTCTGTTTGAATTTGGAACTATACTAATACAACACAAGATTTTGAATAAAGTTTATCCTTAAAGGTGTGGTAGCCTCATTTAATTTTATCCATAATTCCATCCCTCTTCCTCTGTAATTGTGGAGTAGGGAAAGGTTAGTAATAATGAACTAAGTACATTTTTCATGATTCTCAGATGTGTAAGTGTTCACATATTTTAAGACACTTTTTCAATTCTCCACTTAACTGTTACTGTACTTACGTTACTACATATAGGACTTTAAATATTCGTTAAATATTCACTGGGAAAATGAAGAAGTTAAATGTAATTCTGAACTTCTGAGTAAGTAGCTAATGTGTTACGTGCTGGAATCACTGGTCCATCCTATACATCTGCAGCACCAATGGGACCTTTGCAAACACACGACCACCTTCCCTAGTCTTGCTGCCTCTGCCTCGACTCCAACATTCCTAACCTTTGTCCAACCCCATTTTGAAATTTTGTACAGTATCACCAAAGCCAAAACAATGGCTTTATAATCTATTTGATCTAAATTTTTCTTACCATGACCAAAAAGTCAAAGAGAAACACTCCCAAATTCTACCTAGAAGGGATGCAACAGGTTTCATTGGTGTTATGCTGAGCCTTTTTTTTTTTACTCCTTAATAGTACAAGGCAGTTTTCATGTGAGAATTCCATAGATACGTTCAGTGTATTTTCAGCAAGTTCACTCCCTCTGTTACATACCCTTAAACACCTCCTTCTTCCTCCCTCCCTTTTTTAAAAACAGTGTTTGGCATTAAAGTAATTTAAAAGCAGGTTTTAATTTTGACACTAAAAAGGATAATATTAGTAAAATTATAATTTAGGTTGGTAATGATTTTTGTGTGCACTTTTATTTCTTTACATTTAAAGGGGAAAATGCTTAGCCCAAACCTATCAGCATTCTGATTATAGCCCACATTTTAAAATAGGAGTTATTTTAAAAAATGCATTGAGATAGGACACACATCTCTCTCTCTCCCCCTCTCCTTCACCTCGTCTTTTGGACAATTTTTAAACGAGGTTCTTTAATCTAAATTCTGTTTCTGTATCCCTGTAGAGTTCTGTAGGGTGGGGGGTTGGGTGGTTGTGTCAAAGGGAGACCCCGGCTTAAGGTTCTCATCATTTCCTTCCATCAGAGAGTCCCACCGATCAAAATTTTTATGAAGTCCTATAAAATAGAAACAATAAATATATTAAACGTTTGATAGCACTAAATGTACCTCTAGGTGGCACCATAGAATCACAGCGGCACAAACCACAGTGATTATAAAGGCAAGTAAAAAGAATTCTGTGTCAGCTGCCCCAGGGTTGCTTTAGCAGAGGCACAAAATTGAGAGGAGGGAGGTGCCCTGCTGTCAGGTATCCCCCAATATGGGGGATAAGTCTACCCATGCTTCCTGGTGGAGAGACTTCTTTGAGCCTTAACAAGTAGAAGTGCTTTCTATGATAAATGGTACACAAAAGCAGCAAAATTTACTTCCTCAAATTTTCATATTCAAATTGATGACACTGCCTTGTGCCAATTAGAAACAGTTATAATGCAACTAATGCTGAGTGAAGATGAGACAGTTTTATCCTGAGAACCACCCCATTTAAATCATGACAGAATATGCTGCTTCTTACCCAAATACTTTTGTAAGAATGCTAATGAAGCTTTGTCGCTGAGGGCAATGGCTACATTTGAATCTATATCTCCTTTTAATGTAAGCTTCTGTCCAATTATTTTACCAGTTGAAAAAGTGAAGTCAGCAAAATTCTGATGGACTGAACCCCTGAAAGAGAGAAAGGAGACACCTGATAATCACGCTGCTTGATAAAATTGTTTTTGTAGTGAAAAGTGCAAGAAAAAAATGCCTGCCTGATTGGTCTATTTACTGAAAATCAGGGAAACAAAAGTTGGAATTTATCTCCTTAGATGTATTCAAGGGTCACAAGCTATTCATTTAGAGCTCCTAAAGTATAACTCCTCTTCATATCTTGATTTTGAAAGAAATGATTCCCACTTTTTAATGGACTAGATTACTTACAATCTGAGAAAATGGACTGCTGTATGTGTTGAGAGCCTGCCACATCCATATGTGATAAGCCATGTATGTGTCACATATCTATGCACACACACGTGTGTATGCGTGTTAAATCCAAACACACTTTAGATTAAATTGACTTTAAAAAAAAACCCTTCCAGGTGTAGTGGCATGCACCTGTAATCCCAGTACTTGGGAGGCTAAGGTGAAAGGATTGCAAGTTTGAGGACAGGACAGTCTGGGCTACCTAGAGAGACCCTGTCTCAACACCATCACCATTAACAACAAAGAAAGTGTCCCCATATTAAAATGTAAGCAACTCATATTCACACTGCTTTCTAAATTCATTGACAGCTAACATCAAATAAAATGGCCTTTTGGGGTGCTCATTTTGTATTACTTCTGGGAGAATTAGATTTACACATGAAAATAAACTAACTTGAAATCCTTACCTGACCTCCCTCACAGTGTATCTAAGCTCTCTCAATCCTACAAGATCCAACTCTGATATCATCTCCTCTAACCACCCTTTACAGATGGAAAAGACTTCCATTCTCTGACCCCATAGTGGTTATTGCCTATACCTAACAGTAGTCCCCCCTTACCCAACGGGGGGATATATGAAATGTAAAATTACAGAACCCTACATACTATCTTTTTCCTGTGTATGTGTACATCTATGATAAAATTTATAAATTAGACACAGTAAGACTAACAACAATAACTAATAATAAAATAGAATGATTATTATTTTTGAGACAGTCCCACTATGTAGCCCAGGCTGGCCTCAAACTTATGATTCTTCTGCCTCAGCCTCCCAAGTCCAGGATTACAGGTATGTACCACCATGCACAACGAAATAGAACAATTATAATAATATACTATAATAAAATTATAAATGTGATCTATCTACCTTTTCCCCTCCTTCCCTCCCTTCATGCCTCCCTTTCTCTCTCCCTCCCTCTCTTTCTATCCCTGTCTTTCTCTTTCCCTGTCCCCCTTTTTCTCTCTCTCAAAATATTTTACTGAACTACACTTAAACACAGCACTGTGATACCATGACAGTTTATCGGATAACTGAGCTAGTACTAAGTGACTAACAGGCAGGTAGTGTATATACATAGTGTGGGGGCACTAGAGAAAGGTATGCTTCACATCCTAGGCAGGATGGTATAAAATTTCATTGCACTACTGAGAAGGGCACACATTTAAAACTTATGAATTGTTTATCTCTGGAGTTTTTCCAGTTAATATCTCCTGACCATGGTTGGGTAACTGAAAGCATGGAAAGGAAACTGTGGAAATGAAAAGTGATGATAAGGGGGGCCTCGTGTATATGTATCCTTTGTTCCTCTTTCTTCCTGAAACAGAGTTCAGATAGGAAAGAGATACATTCTATCTTTGCTTTGTATTATCTTGGTGGGAGTTCAAAGCTTTTTCATATCCAGGAGGAAGAATGTTGCTAATATCCAAAGGCACCCCATTGTAGATTTGGGGAATATGTAAACTCATACCTTTTTCGCAATAGGTAAACATGATAAATGATAGAACTTTTTCTTTTAAAGAGTTCCTAGCTTGGCCGAGTGATGTAGCATTTTGTCCTTCTATCCCACCCCCCAAAATGTGTACTCATGTTTTAGATGTGTTTAGGCAGGAGTTTAGATAAAAGTAGCATATAGCTTAATGCAAATTTAAATTACCAGTCGATGCACTAAGCATATTAGCACTGCTAAAAGTATTTTCATTTTTGAATAAGTCTAAGCATTCTTAGAAACTGAGATAATCTATATTGCCCTTATTGAAAGTCTGAACAACCAACTCAGCAAATTTGTAATGGCTACTGTTTCAGACGATGAAATAACTCACTGATACTTACTTGATAGTAATCATTTTTCTTTCTTTGTCAGGTAGGTAGAATTTTTTCATTTTCATGGTATCACTTAAAGACTGGAATGATGCAGAGTTGATAAAAAAGAGGGGCTGAGGGACTTTGGAATGCATCTCCTCACCCACTGGTAACATCCACGCATCAAGTGCAATGCCACACCTAAAGATATTAACAATAATGAAAAAAGCGCTGGTTACACATTGGGCAACATAAGGCCTTCTAGCCACACCAGTTTGTCACGGGTGATCTCACTTCAGTGTGAGGAGGGGATAGTGTTAGTTTTATGAGGTAGCAGACCTTATGATTATATAATCAATTTCTGTAGGAGGTATTTAAGAATTGCAACCTATTAAAAGACCCTTAAAATTTTTTTATTATTCATTTTTGTTAACATTGTTTTCTAAACTTAAGCAGTAACTTTTTCAGAACTGTGGGGTATTTGAAAAAGTACAGTACCATTTTCCCTGTGTTTCCAGAGCATTTGGGCACTCCACAGTATATCTATTATACCTTTTTCAGAATAACAAGATACTCTGGACCTTGTTATAGTTAGAGGTTTTTCACCTAAAAAGTTACCAAGGGGTTGAAGAAAAGTATATGAAACATCATTTGAAAATGTAACCAACTTTTTTTTTTACAAGTTTATCCTGTTTCCTAATCTTTTGTAGCATCCATCTGATGTGATAAATGGATAAGAGAACTCCCTTACATTGAAACAGATTTTAAGAAATTCGAGGTGAAATTTCACAAATGATCCTGCCCACATTCTGAACAGTTAGTTCTATGAGCTGTCATTCAAGAAAGAAAAATGTTTCTGCAAGTTAGAAAACTAGGGCCTGGTCTGACCCCTGTCCAAACAACTGTGTAATTTTAGACCCAGCTCCACCTTAAAGATGGTGAGAAGAAAGCAAATTTAAAAAAAAGTCCTATCTATTGGGGAAGTCTGGAAATACTGTAAGAAGGAAATTTTATTATCATAACCATTGTGTCACAGAAAAGATACCTATAAAGAAAAATTTCCATGAGACGTGATAGCACACCAGTAATCCCAGTACTTAGGAGGCTGAAACAGGAAAATCACGAGCTCAAGGCCATCCTGAGCTACACAGCGAGTTCCAGACCAGCATGGACTACACAGTGTGACCCTATCTGAAAAAATCAAACAAAAGTTCCCAGTGAATATGTTAAGCCCTTCACTAAATAAATAAGAACAGCTGGGAGATAACATAGAGGTAGAAGAGTTTTTAATAGCAGAAAAAGTGGTTTCTGCCTAGGAAAATTTATGTCAAGTACTAGATAGAGGCAAAGGAGTGCGACTTAGGGACCCCAAAGTATCCCTTCTTCACTAAGAATGTGATAAAAACAAATAATGTCTCACATGTGTTGTCTTGCCTCCTCTACCAATAATTTACTGTACTCTTGCTTTCTTGGTCTTGTTCTCTTACCTGAATCTCCGGTCTTCACTAAGGGTATGAATAACTGTTGCTCCACCAAAAGAATGTCCGATTATTGCTATTCGACTCCTATCAATAGAGCCCTGTGTGAAAAAGCATGATAAAAACTCAACTATCTCTTATGTTGTTAAAAGAATAGACTAAATGATTTTGTCAATCATAAAATTATTTCATAGGTATGGTTAAGTACTGTGATGTCTTCTAAATAGAATTACATATACACATGCCTACATATATACAGATATTTTACACACGTATATATAATTCATAAAAGTTCAGAAGTAAACTTAATAACCTTTCTAGTAAACCATACTGGAATCTTCAAAATCCTTTTCCCCATGTTTATTATTCATTCCATGAGTATTTATTGAGCACCTGATCCATGCCAGACATTCTAGTCTCATTTTCCATGAGCTCACAGTCCACCAGAAAAGAAAATGATACAGATGATAAGGAAATACCATTCAAGTGTGCTAAGGAGGGCACATGATAGCTCACTCAGGCCCTGGATGGGCACCTGGGTCCACACAAGCTTCATGGAGGAGGTGACCCAACGTGAGTCTTGAGCATAAAGCAGGAGTTAGTCAAGTGGAAGGGTGTGTTAGATCAAGGGGACAATATGTACAGAGGGATGGAGACAGGAAAGATAGACTGGTTGAGGGATAGTCAACTCTCATTTGTATCTGGACAATAGACCATTATCTTATTCCCAAACCAAACTACTAGCTCCCTCTGCTACCTGCACACTCCATCCCTCCAAACACATTTGACTCCTCTCTGATATTCTTCTGACCCTCCCAAAATTTTGTCTAAAACTTTTGACCAACTTTTCAAGATTGGGCTTTAAAATGTATAGGAGCTGTCTAAGAAACTAGAATATTTCCCCTGAGGTATGAAGTTGAACCATAGGAAATTGCCATTTTTAGTTCAAAAGTGACCATTGGCAATGTCATTTACAGTTCAATCTAATGCATTCTTTATTGTACTATAATTTGCCTGTATTGTTTACGTATGTGAGTTGCAGCCCTTTATCATCTTGTGCCTTTTAAGTTAGCAGAAATTCAAACAAAAAACAATAAAGAATGACAGGTCAAAGGAAAATGCCTTTTTAAAGCTCACCTTGAATTGTTCCAAATCAAAATCTAAACCTAATACGTTCTTCACTGGCACTCCTTGATCAATGTCAAGTATCAAACTGAGAGCTTGGGAACATTCCTTTGCTCTTTTCTGTACCTAGTTATGATTAGAAAAAGGAAATGACAAAGTTAACTATTTTAACACTTTAAAGTTTGTATAGACGTTGCATATAGGAAAAATACTTAGTTTGTTACACTGGAAAACTAAGTGAAACTGATTAGAATTCATGCTATCACAGTGACATGAGCATCAGCTTTGTAGGTAAGAAGAGCTCAGTTCGAATTCTGATTCTGTTGCTTACCTACTGTGTGACTTTAGATGATTTACTTAACCTCTAAGGTATATTAATGCCTACCTCAATGAAACGTGGGTGGGCTTAGTGCCATACCAGATATAACACACAGAGGCACTCAGTATGCTTTATCTCACCTAATTATCCCAATAGCCCTATAAGACAGATACTGTCTATTTTGTAACACATAGAAGCACAAGAAGATTAATTTGCCCAAGAACACCCTCTGCAAAGCAATGGACCCAGAATTCAAACATAGTTGCATTTCAAGTCCTGAAGTCTGAACATCATTGTATATCACTCTGTAGTCTTTTTCATATTGCCCCTGGGAATGGGGCTCTATTAATTGAGTTTCTATCACCTTTGAGATTCTAAAATTAGAAGTACTAATACACGAGAATTCTGAATATTCACTGCATCTCCCAGGATTTTTGTGTTTGCCTTAGTTTTTACTACAATCCAAATAATTTGTTAAGAGAATTTTATTACTCAGAGAATCTTCTGAGAGATCTTTTGGTAATGGAAGGTAGGAAAACTAGGAGCATAACCTGCTAGGGGCATATGTATTAAGTGTCATCACTTTGCTCATACTTTTAGGCCACCAAGCTACCTTCTCCTCTCATTGAAATGTACCTGCTCTTTTCGTACACCCTTCGCTTCCTGTTGTGTTGGGATTACAAGGTAATGCCAAGACCTGTTCCTCATTTCTGCAGCAGGCTGGTCCTCAAAATAGTAAGTTGCAGATGCAGATCCATCTCTATAACACAAACAGATTTAATTACTTATATGTGTTCCTTCCTTCCTCATTTCCTCCACGTTCCTGTACTCCATTCCTTGACTCAATTTGCCTCTGATCTTTTGGTTTCTCTTTATCTTCTCCACTCTCCATGTTTTTTTTAATAAAAGAGGACCCTAAGGAGCTCTAGGAGAAGGATATTGTTGTCCATTGTTCAGTTAAATGTTAAGACCCACTCAATCTGCACAGTTCTCGGAGGCAATGTCGACCATATTGATAATTCACTCTCTGGAATCAAATCCCAGCATTGCCATCTACTAGCTGTCTGACTTTGGGCAAATTTCCCATCTCACCTTCATTTCCCTCTTCCTTAAAACAACAACAATAAGTACCCCATAGGACTGTTATAAAAACTAAATGAATGAGATGGTGTAATGAAAAACAGCACGGCATAAACACCCTTGAAATGTTATTGTAAAAATACTATCTAATTCAATCCTTCTCATCATGTAAAATTTCATTAGCATATTTTATAAGATAATAGATAGTTAGAAGCATAACTATAGGCATCGACATCCTCTATATTTGACTAAAGAACCCAGACACATCGGGTAGCATACCTGTGTTCTACAGCAGCAACTATAAACCCATGAGAGGCCAGGTCAATGCCAATAGCAGAATAAATAGTCCTTCAAAACAAAAAGAACCATTATGATTACTAGGTGATTACAAGTAGGGGTGTGCTAAGGAAACCGCAGGCCATATTACCACTGCGTCAGTGCTCTGGGATACCCTTGAAAGCGCTATTTCTCAATGGGAGATGATTTTACCTCCTTGGAGATATTTGACAATGTATGGTGGTGCCTTCATTATCGTCATTATCACCTGCTGCCATTGGCATCTGCTAAGTAGAAGGATACTGCTAAACACACTATAGTCCACAGGACCACCCTCCAAAATAAGCGATTATCTCGTCTTAAGTGTCAACATAATGAGGCTGAGAAACCCTGGTAGTGTTTACAAATAGTTTGGGGTTTTAAAAAGCTTGATTCTGTCACTTACCAGATACATGATTTTAGGTAATTACTGATTTTTGTCCTCACCTGTAAAATGCAATAAAAGGCTAACCTTTAGGATAGCTGTAAGGTTTTGACAACAGGATATACGCAGTAGGTAGATAAGAGAATGGGACTTCAATCTGACCACTGAGTTTGAATCCTGGTTCTACCACTTATTAGTTGTGTACCTTGGATGGGGCACTTATCTTTTCTCCATCTTGATTACTTATCTGTAAAAATGTGATGTTTTAATAGTGTGGTACTCACACGGAAGGATTGAGTGAGTCGACATGTCATCAGTGCTTATAACCCTATCTGAAACAGGGTAAATGCTTAACACATGTTGGATCTTACTGAAATGAGCGGACTGAGTGAAGAAGTTAAAAACATGTGCTAACAATTGCATTTGTGTCCTCTTCTAAGCCTTCATTCTGCACAGTCTTGTTCTCGCATCACGCATTCATGAAACAGCCATAGAGAATTAAAAAGGAGGTGCCTTGTAACTATGCTGTCTACTGAATATACAAGACCTTTTCAGAAGGGGGAATGGTCTATCACAGGGATTGGAAAACCTTTCTATTGAAGGTCAGAGAGCAAATATTTCCAGCTTTGTGGGCCATACAGTCTTTCTCACAACTAGTCAAGTTTGCTGTTGTAGCACAAAAATAGCCGTAAACAACGTGAAAACTGAATGGGTATGGCTGTATTCCAATAACACTTTATTTATAGAAATACTTGGCAAGCTGTATTTGACTCTCAGATTCCAGTTTACCAACAAATAATGTAGTAGATATCAAGTATATAACCAGACTACAATTAGAGTGCGGAAGAGAATTCTTTATTGTAGGTGCTGCCCAAGTGAACATACCTAAATGCTATGTTTTATTTCCTGAAAGTCTTAAAATCCCCTGAGGTCAAAGGAGAGGCAGTTGAGAAAATGGAAGAAGTGGAAAAGGGGGTGGTTGTTATGAAAATGTGCTCCTCAGATTTCAGGCTATAGGAGTGTATTTAACTCAAGATCCTGTCTAACTCCTACTCCTCCAGAGCCATTACCATGTTCAAGTAGAAGCTAAACTGTGAGATGGCACAATTTGTATACTGGCATGAACACATGCTTGTGAGATGGGGACTTTGTCAAGCAACTTTGAGCCTAGCATTCCCTCTGTTGGCCTGGCCCATCTTTTTTAAAAAGAAAGAAAGAAAGAAATAAAGAGAGAAGGAAAGGAAGGAAGGAGTAATGTCCTGCCATCAGAGACTCTTGTTATCTACTCCTTTCTCTCTTCCCATCTTCCCTTTCCAGGTGTCCAACCTGTATCATGGTCTGAATGCTCTCCCTGTCTTTTCCTGCTCCTTCTCGATCCTTCACAAGTATTTCAGTAAGTGGCTTTCACAGCTAATCGACTTCTGGTGTCTGTTTTTCAGTAGACTGGAACCAATGCAGAGGACGATTTCAAGAGCATAAATAATTCTAACATAGAAGTACAAGCAAAAATGTAGCATCCTTCTCCTCTATTGTAAGGCATATCCCCCATGAGCTGGAAGGAGGGGACAAGCCAGAGTCAGGAGTAGTCAATAGATCACAGCCAACTCTTCAGGAACCCAATGACAAGGACCAACATGACATTTAAAGTTTGTTACTCTCTTTTTGGAAAAAAAAATGTATCAGTCATTGTGATCACTAGAGGTGAAAACTGCTTAACCTCTCAAACAGTACCTGAATGCTCCAAGACCATGTGAAAAAACAATTAGTGGGTATTTTTCACCAGTCCTCAGTGGAGAATTCCAGTTTGCAGGAACTGTTGATGAACCTAGACAATAATAGGAGATAAGTTAGTTTCTCTGGCTTGAATGTTGCTAGTTAATTTAATTTACATTTCCTTAGCACAAACTCCTGTACCATGCAATTTATATCTCTGGTTTTTTATGGGTCAGTATTAAATTCATTAAAAAGTCAGCTACTGGGTACTCACCAACAAAAGACCTGAACTGTGTTTCCTCACACCTTATTCCCATTAATTTTGAGTTTTCATTGACAGCTCTGAACTTAGGGTGAGAGATCAGGATGGCTGCTACTTACTGCCATTATGAGGTTTTAGAAGAATGTCAAAGGGAGTGTTCTAAGGCCAAACCATCCAGTAAACCTCAAGAACACTATACAGAGAGGCAGAATGTAAGAATGAGAGACCCCTTTCATTATGATCTATCATGTTCCGGTGAAAAATGGACAGACCATTGGCATCATACTCAGATGTAGCTTTGGATGCTTTGACCTTGAGCAAGTCACTCAAACTCTCAGAGCTTCAGATTCCTCTTCTATAAAATGAAGGAAATGATAGCTATCTCAGGGCTTTGGGGAGAACTTTTTAAATTAGGTAATATATATATGTAAGTATATAATAAATATAATATAAATCATAAATATAAATAAATATATATAATAAATATATATATATATACAGGCACATAATAAGGGGTTCAAAACAGAAAACACTGTCCTCCCTTCCTTCATTCCTCAGTTATTGTCATCATTATTATTGCCAATTATTTATATTTCATCTTCCTATTTATTAAGTGGAGATGTGGTCATGAAGACTCAAAGCAATGTTTGCAATGAGAGTGATTTATAAATTATTCAGCTATATAAACTATTATAAATTATAGTTTTGCTTTCTTATCATTTCTACTTTGAAGAAGTTTTAAATAAAACTCTAAGGAGAAGTTTAAAATGAATTCCAAAAATTGTGGGTAAGTTTTGAGGAAATTTCGAGATATAGTTAGCATCTACCCAATAGCACTGACTAGTGAAACAGATAAAAAAGGAAGGTCTAAATTAGTGTAAGGCAGACATATTAAATGATGACTACAAATCACATTATTAGTGAAAGAGTCTGGTCCTTTGGGGATAGAATAGAGTTGGGTCTCTTCATTTATGGCAAGTAAGAAGTTAACTTTGACTCCTTTGTTTTGGATCTAAAGAGTTATGGTGGCTTTTAGTTTCCTTCTCTTTTTACCCACACAGAATGTACAGGATAGTGGTCCCTCCAGCCAACCTGCTATTCTTACCATGTTATTGCTTCCTCCTCCCAGTATGCAAGGAGAAACACTAACCAGCAGCTACAGAAATATGTTAGAGCCAATCTGACCCTTTTATCCACTGCTATCAAACTGAGAATGGGAAAAAAGAGAACTCTTGATTCTTTCAAAGTTGCCTGGGCCCTAAATAAATACTATGAAGTTTAGATTAGAAGAAATGACATTGTCTTAACTGTCTGAAATTCTTGTTGTTTCCAAGGTTTTCTTACATTTTGGAGCCTACAGAATAGATTGATAGAAATCTTACCATAAAAGAAGTTCAGAATTTTGGCCACAAACCTAGGTGTTCCAAGAAATTTACTAAGACCGAAAAAGTATTCTTCGTTTGGGATCCAGAGGGTGTCAAAGTGATCATGATCTTGGGATGGATAATACAAACGAAAGAAGGTACTCTGTTGAGAAAAAATTAAGGTACTTTTAGTCACACTATTTCTTAAGCATATTCTAGCAGCTATTTCTTGTACTTTATTAATGGGAGCCCAAATACCTCTGTCATTCTTGAAGAGGTTTAGAGAACTTTTTAAACTGCTATAGTGGTAAGTGAATACAGTCATGAAAGAGAAGAGAAAGAAACCATATAATTTTAAGAAAAATTTATTAGCCTAAAGGGTTTCGTTGTTATATTTACATACATGCATAAAATGTACTTTGATCAAATTCACTCTGTCTACATTACTCTTTTTTTTAGCCTCCTTCTCTCCCTCCTCCCCCTTTTAACAGGTTTCAGTATGTTATTTTCACATGTATATACAGATATATATGTGAAACTACACACACACACACACACACACACACACATAGTACCTGGGTCATATTTACCCCATCACCCTCTCCTTTCCCCTCACCCTTCCTGCTGGTTCTCACCCCTCCTACACACAATCCCTCTTTTATGATCATGTAATTATTACTATGTCTATATTCCACTTTTTGAGTGAAAGAAAAATATGGGAAGCTTTACTTCAGCCATTCAGGAGGGGGAAAATAGAGAGTTTCTAAGTAAATTAATCAGAAATCAGCAAAGAACTGGGAAATTACTAAACTAGCAAAAGGCTTCATATGAAGCAATGCAAATGGCAAAATGAGTTATTCTCAGGTGAAGGCAAGGTCAAGGTTTAATACCTCTCTAGTGGGCCATAGCAAGTCAAGATTTAAATATAAGGGTAATCCATGTTAATTGAAGCATTACCTTATTAGCATAATCAAACATCAAGTCTGTACAACCAACAGAGTGAGATCCACTTCCTTTGGGGATTGTAGTATGGCCAAAGCTTGCAGCAGACATCAGCACTTGTATTTTACAGAACCATGCTGAAAAACAAGCCAGTGTTATCTCATGTAAACACTTGGAGGTCACCCACTATAACCTCAGACTTCATTATGCAGAAAATTCCCAGGGATTCAAGTCACTGCGCATAGTTTCCAGCTTCTTTCATTTCTCAACCTTTTGAGGGTCTGTATGCAGAGCACTGTATAGGGATTTGGGGTAATAAAAAAATGGAGGTAGACATTGCCTTTCTCCCAAGATGCTTGGGACTATCACCCATGGGCCTTGCTCTTACCTTCTACTTCTGTCTAGAGTACATTTAAATATGACTTCCCAAATCTGTTTTTGTCTAAACATGAACTTTATGTCACATTTCAGATTTGTGCTTAAAAATTTGTACAATTTGTTCATCTCCAGCTATTGTACTTCCCATAGGAATGTCAAAGCCAATGGTCCCAAATGAAATCAAATGACCACCTGACTTCTACTCTTTGCCTTCCAATCACACACCCTACAACTCCAGAATTCCCTATCTCAGGCATCCCATCAGAAACCTGAGAATCACCCTATTCTCCTACCTCTTGCTCACCAACCTCCTACATTGATACCTCCTAAGTATCAATTTCTAACATTTGTTACCAACTTCATATCACCTCCCCAATACATCTCTGGTGCAAGTGTCTCATTTACATCCTGCTGTCCCCCCTCCCTATCTCTTGACCAGAAAGTTACCATAATTTCTAACTGTCCCATGCAACATGGATCTTAACTCCTTCAAATACAACCTTTACCCAGCTCATGGAATAATTTAACACACAAATCTGACCAGGCAATTTCTTAAATCCTTCAATCTTCACATGATTTCTCTTTCAGGAAGAATTATTGGGGTCCTTTTAGGAGGCAGTTGTAGGTGGTATTTAAACCTTAAGAAAGTACACTCTGACTTGAGGCACAGACATGGCTTATCCTCCCAGCATTCTGGGGTTGAAACACATGGAGCTCACAGGCAGACAAGTTAAATCCCAAGTTCCTGGCTCTTTAAGATAGATCCTCCCTGAACTGGAGCAGAGGGTGCTCTTCTGCTTCTTCCCTTTAATTAGTTCCCTTCCTTGTATTCCAGCACATTCGGCTGCTGATGTCTCTGCACCTTTGTAAATGTTATTATTTCCTGTGCTTAAAATTCCCCTGGTGAACTTTTATTTAACCTTTAACACCTCAATCAGAAGTCAGGTCTTTCTTGATGCTTTCCATAATCCCTCAGACAGACTTAATAATTTCATTCTCAGGATCTCATATGCCATATATTTCTATATATGGAATATAGTGTGATAAGAAGAATAATTATATATAATTGTATTTAAATTATGAGTTTGCACAGTGTCTCCCACACTAAGCTACTTCTCAAGAGCTGTCTCCCTGTCATTGTATGTTCATTCTTAATGCGGTGTCTTGAACACGTAGTCAGTGCTCAACAAGTATTTGTGGAAAATGAGCTGAGCTAATCTGAGCTGCCACTGGTCTCTCATGTTCTTCTTTCAAAACCATCATACACATTCTTTTACTCATCCACTCCTGAAAACTCCTTTTCTCTCTCTGGTGCCAAACTCTTCCATACCCCTGCAACTGTTATCCATTCTAAACCCCAGTCAGATCCACGTTTTATTCTAAGATGTTGGGTACAAATATCAGCATATCCAGACTCTCAGTACATTCAGTGTACCCACCCCTCCCTTCTTATTAGACTGTGGAAATTGATTACTCTGCTAGACACTCCTGTGTTTTTCATTACATTTTCCCTCTGCCAGTCAGACACCATGAGTTATGTTAGGTTTGGCATCTGCATCATTGTCACAGGAGATTGGTCAGAAAGGTTCTGGGTCACGGTAATAAACCTACTTATATCCTCCGCACTGGTGAATCATGTATGAAGCACCTACCAGGGATAGAGCTTTCAGTACATAAAGCCTCCTTACTCAAAGTTGGTCCATGCATCAACATTACGAGCACGCCTGGAGCTTAGAAAAATAACAGGTTCTCAGACCTTACCCCAGTTCTACTGAATCAGAAAAGGTTAAGGAAATGCCCACTAAAGTTTAAGAAACATGGTTCTAAGGTACCAGATTACTTGGCCTACCACACAAGTTACAATTTATAGTCAATGATAAGAAGCAGTTCTAAGGAAGGCAGAAGGATATTAGAGTCCAGGTGAGCCTATTTCAGACACCAGGTATACTTCTCACAGGCTATACTGCTGGGCAACCTACTCTCCTCCCTGATCTTGCATAGCAAAGTGAGGATGAAAGCATTTGACCAATCTGCCAGACAGTTGTGAGAATGAAGTGATATTCAAGTACCTAGCACAGAACATGACATAGAATAGGTAATCTACGGGCATTATTTGTTCCCTTCCCAAAGCGAGTTAACTCTGGCTAGCCAAATTCCAAGTGAAGTCCTTAGAGGAGTTTTAATAAATCTAAATGGGGGAATCCTACTTTCTCTTAGAGCAGATTCAAAATTCAAGGCACTTCCTCAGAGATTTCACTTTTTAACTTTACTTATAGATAAATATTTCAGAGTTTACTTAGACTTACAAAAGGCTCTTCCTTTTCCATTCAAGAGTCTCTATGGAGCCATGCTTTAAGGTGTAATAGGCAGATATCAAGTCCAGAAGATGGTCTCTCCTTCCATGATGAGTAGCCTGTGAACTGGTCTATACCCCCAGCACAAGCAGCCATAACAAGGCTAGACCAGGGTGGATGGGGGAGATGGACAGCTCTTACACCTCAGTGAGAAGCCCAAAGAACTCAGGGCTACCTTGAAGACTACCTCTAGAATTGATTCTAGAACCACAGGTGGGTTTCACCCTACACAAGTGGATCTCTCCCCTTCTGAGATCCTAATTCCGAGGAAGCCATGGGAACTTTTTCCAATAACCTAGGGGTGTCCTGGTTCTCCAAAACCTGGTTGCATCCACACCCAGAATTCAGTAGCTACAAGTCAATGTGAGGCTGTAAGTCTGCCAATTCCAGGACGTCCAGGACACCCAACCCCTAGATCTCAGAAAATGTCCAGCTAACCAAGGCAATGGGGTGGCATTACAAGGTCCTGTGGCTGACTAGTGCCAGGGTAACTACAGAAAAGGCTCAGCAGTCTCCAGCTAACCAACCATAGACCTGGATTCCCATTCTTCATCCTTTAGGAATCAAGAAAAAAAGAGAATGGAGGAAACTTGTGAATGGTCACTCTCTAAATAATATGTTCAGAATTTATGAATGTGTCTTCCTATTTTTCCTCAACTTTATTTGAAGAAGGGCTTTGGAACCTATATTATGTCACTAATCTTATTACATATTTTTGGTGGTACTTGTCAAATATTTCTGATATCCAGTCTTGAGATGAATTGTATAAGTGCTAGGAAAATTAAATTCTCTTATATAGCTTTACCTCCTCTATTAGCAAATGCCAAACCTCTAGCCCATATTTACAAACCTTTTACCTGCACAGCTATGTTTTCTATGTGTTCATTTAATAAGAATTTTAATCATCTATTATTTTAATCTTTTATTAATAAACTATAATTTTTAAATATGCATGCATGTACTTCTTGAGCATTTAGAATGATTAGGGCATTGGGCTCAGCGCTGGGTCAGAAAAATGAATAAAGCAATGTCCCTGTCCTCAAGTGTCTGCCAATCCAGTGACAGGTTTCCAATATTTTGTGTGTGTGTGTGTGTGTGTGTGTGTGGTACTGGGGATCAAACCCTGGACCTTATGCATGCTAAGCAAGTGCTCTACCACTAAGCTACAGCCCATCCAACAATTTCTAAACACAAGGGGATACAAACACATTTTGAAATTCTCAACCTGTGCCAACAAAATGTATGATATAAATGTACCAGAGATAACAATTTTCCCATCATGTAAAATGTTACCTGTTTTCGATCTATGAAAAGGATAATGGAAAGACGATCTTAATTTTAACTAGGCTGCAGCCTCCTTAACTATAAGCTCTATGTCTTAGTCATCAGTGTAACCCTGATGTCTTAAATTTTTTACGTGTGGAGTGATGAATGGACCTTTGAGATATTATTCCATTTTCTGTTCAAATGTAAATATAAGGTATAATCCTTATCCTACTGACACATTCAATTTCCTCAATTATGAAGTAGGGCAAAATTTATCTCTGTGACTGAGTTATGCAAGTCCTTTTGTAAATTCTGTGCTAGAGAGTCACCTATCAAGCCTGAACTACTAGATCCAAGTGCACAGACCTGTGGGTACAGACAGTATGACACCATTCACCGTCTACCCACACTGCTCTGCACAGGAGACTAGATAGGGAAGTTCATGCATCACAGCCTTCTGGGATGACCAGGAATTCACAATGTTTCAGAGGCAATGTCTTTGCAGTAAAGACATTGAAGATGGTGACATCTGTCTAGAGATGGCTTTCCTACTCTGCCTCTCCCCCTGGGCTTATCTAATCCTTCCTCTCTTTTCCTTCCCTCCTTCCCATAGGTAAGAGAGGAAATGACCAAGTCTTGTGAAGTTTCAGGCACCTACTTTTCCTCACATCTCCCCACCCTCAGTTGTCATCTTCTCATACCATCTCTACTACTAACTAGAGTGGTGTATTTCAAGACACCTGCCTCTTTTCCACTTTCTTGGAGTAGTTTTGAGGATATTTTAGAGTGAACACCAGGGAAGATATGTTACACTGCCCATGTGGGAGCATATTAGGAGAGGGAGAGATGCGGGCAGCATTGAGGGAGCTCTCCCAGTCATTGCAAGCTGAGATTTCAGTGTGTCTTATAATGCCTGATTGTCCTTTTCTTTACTCATAATATCAAAGAACATGAGCAATTCTGTGTATAAATTGTAAAGAGGAGACAATGAGGCTCTCTCTCTTACTCCAGAAGAACTAAAGATGTCCATGTGCATTTCTTAATAGGATTTGCTTAAAAGTCCAAAGTGCAACATCTCTGAGGTCACGTGGAACCTGGCAACAGATCAGTTCAAGCCCTTGAAAAAATACACCTCTTACCTGTTGATTTTAAATGGGCAACAGGATTTAGATCTTGCCAGTCAAAAGGATGAACCAAGGCGAGGCAGCAGCAGAAGCAGAAAAGCACATGCAATGTGGGTGGTGCCATCCTGAGAGCTGAGTAGTGGTTTCAGCTTAACCTTCTTCAAAACAGATAATCAAAAGGAAAAAAACATGCAATGAAGAGTACTTAAATAGTCTGAGAAGTCAGCAAGGTCAAGGTACTACTAACATTTGAGGGAAAAATGGGGTGTGCAATTTCTGAGCTGGGTTTTAGATAGGTACTAGAGTACAAAACCCTTATATTGCTGGATCATAGTGTACAGAAATAATACTTTTAGACTTTTATATCAAGGTTTTGGTCACTAGTTCTCTAACTATAATGGTCTAGTTGATTATAAAGAAACACATCAAAATATAATAATAATCATACATTGTCATTTCCATAATAGCCTTAGATACATCTAGCACACAATAGTTAATAGGTTTTCATTATAATTATACAGTGATTATCTCACTGTATAATCTCACTGCTGAGATTGTTTTTAATGTTAATTATCTTATATTTTGAGACTTCTATGATCTTACTACATTCTAGGTCTCCAAAAAAGCAGAAATCGGGTTTTACTTGTTGTCTCTAGTGCTTAACAGATGGGCTGGCAGAGACGTGAAGGTGAGTGAATGTTTCTTGAATCAATGAATGAAGCGATAGGATGAGACTTGGTATAATAATAAATGACATTACAATTAGTTTGTATGTTAACATCTTATTAATAAAAGTACATTCACTTTTCCCCTTTAAAATCTGTCCCTTCAAGTTTTGGTGATCATGGAAATGATTCAAGGCACTACCATCTCTCACCTGAATTTTGGTAATAACTCTAAATGGCCTTCTTGCCCCACAGTCTACCCCCAACATAGTGGTCAGAGTGCTCAAGTTACTCCTCTGCTCAAAACCGGTGAATGGCCTCCTATGTCACCAAGCAAAGTAGCATATAAGGTCTCCCTAGACTGTACACAACAGACTTGTAATCTTACCTCTATCCTCTCTTGCACACTTGCTGCAGCCACACTGGACTCCTTGCTACTCACCAAACATACTAGGTATCCCGTACTCTGCATCCCTACCTCAAAGACTTTGCATGTGTTCCCTTGCACAGGAAAGCTCTTTGCCTTGACACCCAAATGACTGGTGGTCTCTCCTCCACGACTTTGCTCAGTGTTACCTTCATAGTGAGGCTTTTCCTGATCTATCTGCTTAAAATTGCAATCCAACATCAATACAATTCCAATTTCCCCTGTACTTTACTTTCTTCATCATTTATCACTAACATGTTTTGTACATTATTTGTTAACTGTTTATCTTCTTCCACTAGAAATTCAGCTCTGTGAGTATAAGGAATTTTGACTGTTTTTTCCTCTACTATAGTCCCAAGACCTAGAATAGTGCCTTCTGAGTGAATAAATTCTAGCAGTTTCTACACATGTGGTTACTGACACACGCTGAGCCAAGTTTCATGATCCGTGTATTGGTCCCACTGGTACTAATAGGGCACTAACTAACTGGTATGGTTATTTTGCAGAAAATATAGTGTAGACATGTGGAATGGATAATCAGTGCTTTTAAATAACTCTGTGCTTCCCTTATGACTGAACTGGAGCCATAGATGATTCCTGATAAGTGGAAATATGAACAGAAGTTGTTTCAGACCATTGAGAGTGGGTGTGTCTCTTCCATTCCTTCCTTTCCCCAATACACCAAGCTCAGAAGCCAGACACTGACATAGTGGAAACCTGAGGCCATAGTCAATGAGTACAGAAGAATATGACCTTTCACAGGTAGGAAATAAAGTTTTACTGTTAAGCTACTGAAATTTCTAGGTTAAGTTGTTAATGCATTATTGCAATACATCATTGCCCATTTTAACTAATAGTGGTCTCAGTCATCTAATCAAAGGCTATTTATTGAGAAAATACTGTATATATCCTCCATGATGGCAAAAACTGTGGTAGACACTGGAGAATTTGATACAATTCCTACTCTAAAAGAGCTTATAGTTGGGATTCAGAGACAAGACTATCACATAAAATATAGGAAGAAAGTAAATTTTAGGGACATTTAAAAATTCTTGAATTTATGATACAATTTAGAGAGTAAGAGAAGTTCAGAAAGAAAAGTTTCAGAGGAGATGGGGCTATAACAAAGTCAGCTTTTATCACACAGGGTAAAAAAATAGCAGGTAACTGGGAAAATTGTCACTGCAGCTCTAAGATTCTCGGGCTACTTGCAGAGTGGATTTTTTTAGTCAGGAAAAAAGTAGACAGTGTGCATAGTGCAACTCTTCAAGATTACTTATAATATTGGTTGATTTTATTTCATCTTATTTCAGTTTTATACTTAATTTTACTATAAAGTTAAAACATGATTTCAAAAATGTAAACATAACAGGACAAAGTGAATAAAAATTGAGTTGTCCCTTAAATAATAATGACTTGCTAACAGATTTTTAGGTGTATGTCTATGTTTGAATGCCTCCACATATACAACACATACGTGTAGATTAAATATACATGCATATAAGTATATATATGATTTTAATTTTGTTGACAATTGTTCCTGCTATATCTTCAACTTTCATATTTGGCAATGTTATGGATATATTTTAATGTTGATGCTCAGAACTATGATTTAACATCTCCTTGTAAAATAATACTAAGAATAACTCAAAGAAGAGCTAATTCTTTAGGCTTATTATATGCCAGAATTAAACATATTTCCTAGCACAAAGTATCCTATTTAATCATCATCAACACAACTTGTGAGGGATGTTTGGTTATCCCCATTCTACAGGTGAGGAAATTGAGACAAGGAGAGTTTGAGTTGTCTAAATCACACACCCAGCAAGTCCTGGAGACAGGGTTTGTTCCCAGAATGCTTGAGTCCCTATTTTCAACTATAACATATCAACTTGAGTAATGTCAATTTGTGTGCTCTAAAACTGTATGCTCCTAAATTTTTGAACGACCAAAAACACCATGTAAATAATGCTATGCTATTCAGAAACTGCTTTCTGGACCAAGAGGATGACTTACAGAGTTAGAAATTGTTCTGTAAAGAGATACGAATCTGTCCCATTGTTACAGCATGCCGAGACTCTTAGAAACTGTGGAGGACTGACAATGGATCCATAGTAAAAACTATGGAGTTTCCTGAATAGGCAACAGAGGCCGACCAGAAGCCAGGCTATGTGCTCACCAACTCTCACAATTCCCACTCCGTTAGACTGTCACATCAAATCATGTCCTCTATGGGAAGTATTTATAGAAATACGAGTACAGGGCTTTAGAAAATTCTACCCCTGATGGTTTTAGCCTGTGACTGAATAAGGGGAGAGCCATTCAGCCTCTTCAAGAGATCTCTGGGGATGAAGAGGAAGACAAAGTAAAACATATAAGGAGAATAATGGGGGATTTTAGGAACAGTAACCAAAGTTTAGCTTGACCAAAGCAACTTGGTGCTCATTTCATCTTTCCTGTTGTCAACAACCTCAGGAAACATTAAAGACTGATGACATGGATTCCTAAGTCCTCTAAGCAGGACTGAGGTGCTCAGCTCTCCCCATGTTTTCTTCTAGACCAGTGTCAGGGACATCACCCCAGGTCCTCATAGTGGAGCAGGGCATAAATATTGTTGGGTGAAATGCCACACCAGGATTCCAGTCTGACTTCACGCAGCTGCAAAGGCTCTTGGGTCAGAGTTGACCATACTGATTCCTGAGCCTCACCCTAGACGTCCCATCCTCCATTGTCAGGCCCAGGAATCTGATACAGCCAATGCCAGAAAGTAGTGCTTGGAAACTACACCAAGGGAACAAGAGTACCACTTGTTTAGAGTTTTTTCACTTGCCCGTCATATGTGATCTCTGATCCTGCCCTCAAAGAAATGATCTTCTAGATAATTTAGTGATTGGCTCATTCATATGAAATATACTCATTCACTCACACACTCAATACCCAATTTAAAAAGTGCCTATGTGTTAGTCACTATAATTGGCACAAACTGATTTCTTAAAATAAATATGATTTTTTGTTTTCAAAATCCCCAACAGTGAGAGTTTCCAACAATTATGAGTACTAGAAAATATTATTTATAAGTGTAGTAAGAACAAAGGAAGAGAAGCACTTTTTCATTTTTCACTCATGAAGATCAATGACACATAGAAAGGCTGTGCACCCCACCTGGGGTCATACAGGGGCGCTTTCGACATGGGCAGTTCCACATGGCAGCTCTTTCACTCCAGTGTACTGAGTGACAGAAGGGTCCAAATAAGATTCTTCCTTCTTCTCACCTCCCAGTGCCACAAATGTCTTCTCTTTCCCCATTATCTCTAGCTAGTGCACCTGACAAAACTGTCCTTAAACTGATGGCAGGACAGTTGTGACCTAGCAGTGGACAACCCTCACCAAGGTTTCCATGCAGCCAGCTGAGGTCTTCTTTGAGCCTAGCTGCTTGACAGCACCACAGAGAAGACACTGTCCTCCTTGGCAAGCAGAGGCTCCCCTGGCGGGGCCCAGGCAGGGTGTTGAACCACTGCAGCACAGCAGGCCACCTCCTCCTTGCTCCGGCAGCATTCTGTTCATGCGTCTATTTGGGCCCTTACCACCTTGTTCTGCCATGCTCTCTTCACACAATTTCTTCTCCTGATAGCCTGTGGACTCCTCCAGTGCAGAAATTGGTCTCATTTGTCCTCTTATTAATACTACTTAGCAAAGGGCCTAGCAGATAGTAGGTTAAAGCAAGATGAAGGCTTCTTGAATGAGGATAAAGCATCTTGTTTGGTTCAGGCCACCAGGTAGCCCAGAAACACTTCCTTAGATGGTTTCATGCCAGGTTGTGACTGCCCAATACTGGGTTGCAGCCAGTTCCTGGGCCTGTTACATTCGTCAAGATCTCCTGCAGGTATCCTATCAAAGCTTCCGAAAGTTTTCTCTAAAGGAAAGAACCTCATGTCATTGAGGAGAGTGTATAAATTAGGAACTCAGAGAGTACAGAATACAAGTTGTGATATAACTTCTATGTTGGTTTGTCGTTTTGTTTGTTTTGGTACCGGGGCTTTTGAACTTAGGGCCTATACTTTGAGCC